AAGGGAGTAAGGTGGGCAGGAGAGAATGAGGACAAGAATTCTGTGTAGATGGTGGTAGTGGTTATAAGCTTTTTTAAACTTGAAACCCCACATCTTTTATTTCCTCATAGTGAGCACATAGCAAGGAAAAGTTTGAATTGAACCTAAATTAGTGTCATTTATTTGTCGAAGTGCAATTTATTAATTTTATACAAGTGAACAACTTAATTTTTGTTTAGGGTAAGAGTTGTCCATTTCTTAAAAAGCTATTGTTTTTTCCTAAATCCGTGTATCTGTATTAAGTTTAGAATCATTTGTTTGCAAAAATAATTTGAATAACCATGTGTAAGGCAAAGGCTTGTTTGGAGCCAATAGCATCAAAATTATATTTAACAAATAAGCTAAATGGAAACTTTGGTTTGGGAAAAGCTTCAGAGAATTTATTTTTCATCTCCATTATTAAGCAATCTTGCCTTGTTACTTTTTAGAGTGAATGAATTTTTGAATACTATTTTCTTCTCCATTTACTCAGCACAAACATTTCACTGAAGATATTCAAACAAGGCAGTATCGCTCCCTGGAAGTCCTAATAGGATCTGGCTATAATACCCCTGCTGACATTTGGAGCACGGCATGCATGGTAAACTATTTTTCCCCTTAACCTTTGCTTGTTAGGTGGTAGTTACATATCTCACCCTGTTTGCTAATTTCAATAGACTAGCAAATTAACAAGCAGTAAAAGAACTTATCACAGGTGATTCATTACAGGTGCTCTCAATCCTATGTCTGGAGAAGTCTAAATTCGAAAATCTTTTATAAACATCTGGTATTCCATTTGGTTACTGCCAAGTTCCTGTTAGATGAAGGAACCAAATATTTCTTACTGCAGGTTGTTGGGAGGAAAAAATTAAAAACAACTGCTATAAGATGGTGTTGGTTTTGATTAGGAGCGTACAAGTTTCCTTGCCCTTTTTGCACTGATTTATTTTCAGACCAGGAAACCCCTAGAAACTGCTTCATTCTGAACAATTGAGCAGCTCTTCAGACATTCTGGCGACTCATGAAATGGGAAGCCCAATCATCCAGAGATTCATAAATTGCTGCTTTGTCCCTGGCAAGCAACTACTTAAGTGGTCAGATTTTATTTGATACTAAATGATTTTTCGCTAATAGCCTCATGTTAGAATGTGTTACATTGTTTCTTAAAATGGAGTGTATGCTCTTTGAGATCTTTCCTTTCTTTTATCACAATTTGTAATAGTGTGTTTATTTGTTCACTTGTTTCTCTTTTACTATGTTATAAGCACCATGCTGTCAGGAATCATGTCTGTATGTATAGCTAAGTGTCTGGATTCATTGCCTGACACATTTTGAGTGGGTGCTTGCAATGCATTTCCTAGGCTGACTACCCAGAGTTACTGCAGACTTCATAGCTTAAGGGCATGGTTCCCCACGATTGCCCTCTCTGCAGATACCAGCCACAAGTCTCGGGGTCTACAAGTCACCTGCACTTCTAACCAACTGACTATAAGTGGGGGGTTTCCCGTACCTCCTCAGAAAGTGCTAAGCTTACTATATTGTATTATAACTGAGAAAGTACCAAACATGAAGCTTCTGTGTCCTCAGGACTCGTTACCTTCTTGGCACATTGATGTGTATCACCAAGCAGGGAAGTTCACCAAGCTTCAGGTGCCCAGGATTTATTTTATTGAGATTTCATTACTTAGACGTCACTGATTAAATCATTGGCCATGTTGTTGAGCTGGATCTTCAGTCCCTCTCCCTTGCCTAGAGATTGGGAGGTTGGAAATCCCCAAGCCTCTGTTCACATGGTTAGTCTCTGCAGCATGTCCATATCCAGCTTCCATCCTGGAACTATCTGGGGGCCTACCGTAAGTCACCTTATTAGTACAAACAGGTATGGTCCAAAGGCCCACTATGAATAAGAAAAACACTCCTATTGCTTGGAAATTTCAAAGATTTAGAGGCTTCCTTCCAGGAAACAGGGACAGAGACCAAACAATTTCTTCATGATACAATAGTGCTCAGTAAATATTTGTGGGCCATCAAATGAATGAAGAGAAACATATACTCTCATTTCAGTTAACATTTACTATTCACAGGCAACTCGGGGAAAAAATTGAGAAAGAGGTTAGATAACAGTTCCAACCTGTTTTAGGTCATGGATTTTTTGATGCTTACATTCTGAAAAACTTTGTCTTTAAAAGTAGTAGAGTTAAAACCATAGTGTTAATGTGGCATGACTAATGAAGTACTTTGGGAGGCCAAGGCAGGACGATTGGTTGAGCCCAGGAGTCCAAGACCAGCCTGGGCAACATAGTAAGACCTCATCTCTACAAAAAATAAAAAAATTATATAGGCACATGCCTATAGTCCCAGCTATTTGGGAGGTTGAGGCAGGTGGCTTGCTTGAGCCCAGGAGTTCAGGGCTGCAGTGAGCTATGATCACACCACTGCACTCCAGCTTGGGTGACAAAGTGAGACCCTGTCTCCAAATAAATAAATAAATAAATACAGTAAGGTTTTTTTGGTATTGTTGCAGAAAATGAAGGAATATTGGGATAAAATTTCAGATGTCGTTCTTAGAATTATGTTAATTTGCTACAAGAGAATGAGGACCTTGGTTTCTTTTTGTTATTCCATATTCCTATCTTGTTTAAAGGCAGTAGATCCTACTTGGTATTTAACATAGTATTTCTAAGCTCAAGCTTAAGAAGTAAGGCAAAAAGATATAGGGGAAATTAATCTTGCCTTGTAGTTCTGGACTCACATGTCAGAATTTTCTCGACCAAGCACTTATCTGACATGAGACAATATCATAAAAACTTGAGCCCTGTTGTTCTCCAAATTTCTCTTATTTTGATAATAGACTTAGAAAATGTTGCTTTAAATCTGGTTAAACTCAGAGTAAAAATAAATACTGGAGTATCAGAAGTGCCTGGAAAGATTAATCATTCCACATTTGATTTAATTAATTGATGGAAAGATTGAGGCTCTTTCTAAGAGGTAAAGAGACAAGTTGACAGATTGCCTACCACACTGGTGATTTAGTCAAAGTTAGAAGGGAAATTATAAAAAGGGAAAGGGGAAAATATCTGTGAAAAACATTAAGAATTAATAGTCTCCAAACATTGGGGTCAGGACAGGTAGGACCATAACTGGCAGGATGAGGATATTTTCCTCTCTGGCCTTTTAACATCCTCTACCTCCCCCTGTGGAGAAATATATTTATAGTTCCCAGTTGTCTTCCTTTTCTGGTAAATTCCTTTCTTTAAACAATTGCTTTCTGGGACTTGTTCTTTTCCTTTTTTATCTTTTGCTCTCTGAAATTCAGGGCAGGATTTATGGGACTCCCACTCGTACTTATGAGAGGCTCTGTGAATGCAGCTATACATAGGTAGGAAATGGGGTGAATTGCATATCCTTGTCCACCCCAGAAGTTGGCCCATAACTAATAGAGAGTACGATTAGGGGAAAAAAAACTAGAGAATATATAGTTGTCCCTCAATGTTTTGGGGCATTGGTTCCAGGACCCCCTGTGGATGTGGAATCTATGGATGCTCAAGTACCTTATATAAAATGATGTAGTGTTTGCGTATAACCTGTTTAACCATATAGCTAATGTAAGATCGTAACAGAAATGAGACGTGGTAGTGTATGGTTCACCACTAACAATAAGGTACTCTTCTAACGTTTCTATAAACAGTTACAGTGTAAAACTAAATTCCCTCCCCCCTTTTTTTCCTATTGTTTTTAACCCTTTGGTCAGTCATCTCCTGATTTTTCCCAGCCTCAATAACCACCATTCTACCCTCTGCTTCTATGAGTTCTGTTGTTTCAGATTACATGGACAAGTGAAAACGTGCAGTATTTGTCTTTCTGTACCTGGCTTATTTCACTTAGCATGATGTTTTCCAATTCTGTCCATATTGTCACAAATGACTGAATTTCCTTCTTAAGGCTGAATTGTATTTCCAGTGTGTATAGAGGTTGAGTATCCTTTATCTGAAATATTGGGACCAGAAGTATTTCAGATTTTGGATTTTTTTCAGATTTTGGAATATTTACAGAATACGTACTGGTTAAGCATCCCTAATCTTAAAATCCAAAATTGGAAATGCCCCAGTGAGCATTTACTTTTCATGTCAGTGCTCAAAAAGTTTCAGCTTTTGGGGCATTTCAGATTTCAGATTTTTAGAGTAGGGCTGCACAATTTATATATGCCACCTTTGTTTTAAATCCATTTATGTATTGATGGACAGTTGGGTTGATTCTATAACTTGGCTATTGTGAGTAATGCTGCAATGAACATGTAAATGCAGACAACTCTTGCAGACAAACTGATTTTAAATCTTTGGGTAAATACCCAAAAGTGGGATTACTTTATCATGTGGTAACTATTTTTAGTTTTTTAAAGAACCTTCATACAATTTTCCATAATGGTTGTACAAATTTACATTCCCACCAACAGTGTATAAGCGTTCCCTTTTCTCCATATCCTCGCCAACACTGAATATCCTCGCCAACACTGAATCTTTCATCTTTTTGATGATAGCCATTCTGACAGTTGTGAAATGATATCTCATTGTGGCTTTAATTTGCATTTCCATAGCTATTAGTGACATTGAACATTTTTT